TTCCATTCATGGGAAACAGAAGCAGACGAAACGCACCTCGACCTTCTTCCAATTTTGTAATGCCGAGTCGGGCATTCTGCTCTGCACGGATGTGGCGGCACGTGGTCTAGATATACCGCAAGTCGATTGGATTGTACAGTACGATCCGCCAGATGATCCACGCGAGTATATTCATCGTGTGGGTCGTACGGCACGAGGCTCAGGCACTTCGGGACATGCTCTGCTAATGCTAAGACCCGAGGAATTGGGCTTCTTGCGTTATCTGAAGGCAGCCAAGGTGCCGCTCAATGAATTTGAGTTTTCCTGGCAAAAGATTGCAGATATACAACTGCAGGTAAGCCCTATAGCTATATATACTATATACAAATTATCATAATATCCTCTTTATATTTAGCTAGAGAAATTGATAGCGAAAAACTATTTCCTTAATCAGTCAGCCAAGGAGGCCTTCAAGTCGTATGTACGCGCCTATGACTCGCATCAGCTAAAACAAATATTCAATGTGAACACACTGGACTTGCAGGCGGTTTCCAAAAGCTTTGGCTTTCTGGTGCCGCCTGTGGTTGACCTCAAAGTAGGCGCTGCCAAGCGAGAGCGGCCCGAGAAGCGTGTGGGTGGCGGCGGTTTTGGCTACTATAAACAAATGAACGACAGCGGTGCCAAGCAGCGCCACTTTAAGCAGGTCAATCGGGATCAGGCCAAGAAGTTTATGCGTTAATTCTTTAGCCTTAAGTATAAACCATTGTCTTTTATATAACATTATATACATTGTTGACATATGTATGTGTAGCGAATGTGAATAAGTGTCTTCATTTCACAACTAATTTTGCATCATTATTTAAATTCAAACCAAAAGGCGCCCACACGGATGTGGCGTTTGCCATATTTGTGTGTTGTTTATTTCACATATTTATTGTCTCCGCTCCAGTCGCCAGACTTTTGCGAAAACAAAGTATTTGGCGAATCGAGCCCAATATGGCAACTGTTTTTTTTTTTTGGTAAATTTTATTTCTATATAAATTGTTTCAGTTTATTGACGGTCAGATCGACTCAAACTGTTACAGTTTGGCATGCAAGTCGTCCAGATCTTATTCAATTGAGCAATGCGTCGCCCACAAATGCTGCCATCAATTGAAATAGCATTGAGGAGCTGTAAACAATTTTCTAATAAAACCCGTTTAACCCACAACACCCACTTCACAGCCATAGCCACTCGCTGTCCAAAAGACAGCATCAAGAAATTAATGCGCTGCCTAATCAAACCAGCCAGCCAGGCATGGATAGCAACAAATTAATAGTTGTTTTTCAGGCCTGCGCCTAGGCGTGGGCGTGGGCGTTTTAAATGCCGAAAACACACGAATACGCCCCCCACATTAGTTGGTAACATGCAACTAAAGCCAGCGAGCCAGCACTTGCTACAGCGCAGCTAATCAAGCCAACACATGTTTGTGAATGAAATCAAGTTAAGGCTGAAGCTAATGCTAATGCTAATGCTGATGCTGATGCTGATGCTGGTAGCAGCTTCGAAATTCATTCATGAGGCTGTGTCGCTGAATGCATCAGTGCAAGCTTGTTTCATAAGCTAGTGCATATTAAAACAAGAGAGTGCTTAGGCTAAATGTGGCCAACTGGCATACACCCTCAGGAAGTGGCTTCTTCTTTACTTCACATTTACAAAATTAAATTCTTGAGTAACTTCTTTTAGATAAATATATTCATTTTAAAATATTCAGGTCTTTAAAATGGTGCACCTAAAAGCAAAGTCCAACATTTTTTTTAAGCTTTAGGGAAAGTAAATCTGAAATATTCTTGATCTGTGTATAATACAAAATCTCCTATTTCATAAGATTCGAGATCAAGTCTCACAGTTAGACGGCCAGGATTATATAGACTCTATATAAATACAATATATGTGGAGCTTATGGACTAATGCTGGCTCAATATACCCCTGCAACAACATACCCGTTTTACTCAATTTTAATAATTAGAGAGTATACAAAAAATAATTTTTTTATGAATGAAAATTCATTTGTCGCTGGTTGCTTTGCTTTTAATATAAATAAATGTTACTATTTCCAATTGATGCAAATAATTTTACTTTAAAAAATAGTTAATACAATGAAAACGGGCTTCATTCATAAGCTTGTATATGAGTGTGTTGTGTTCTCTTAGTTTAGTTGACTTTAGTTAAGAGTTGAGGGTCTACTTATATTACAAAAATATTAAAAAATAACTATTAACTATTCTTATTCAAATGAAGTTAAATGTCTCAATTTGCTGAGAGAAAAGTTCATTAATATGTCAAAAACTAATGTAAATACTTGCTTTCTGATGTATCCATGCTAAATGTGAGATCTGTTTGGTTGACAATTTTTGATATATGCCAAGCTTTTAACAATATTCATACATTTCTTAAAATAATTCATACATATGTTTATATACATTATCGTTTTTATATAAGCAATGACAATGTTCATCAAAGTAACTAACTTTCTATGTATTTAAAAAAAATGTCATTAGTCGGTTAACAATATAATCAGAAAAAGTTACCTAATAAGCTCTGATCAAATGGTATATCATTCTCATATTAAATTCCTATTCGGCTGGCTAACGTTTCAATTCAGCAACGACTCTCGTCTACCTGGGCTGAGCAGGTGTGTGGGCGTTGCAGCTGGTTTTATTTGGCTCACTCTGTGGTGGCGCCTACGCAACAGTTGTATGCGTAATGAAAAGCCCACAGCAGGCTGTTTAATGGCCAACAACTTGGCTTTTAACCAATATGCCGCTGCTAATTGTACAAGGGGCGGGCAGCTTGTGTGTCAATTGCAAATTGTCCGAAAAAGCAAGTGTATCATTTTGTCGGCTAACATCAAAGCAGGTGCCATTAATGCGAATAATCACCAAAAAAATGTCCAATCAAAAGGGCGAGTGCTGCACGCGCACATTTAAGGATGTTGTAGTGCGAAATATGGCTAACAGAGATGTTGGTAAATTTGCACTGTGGGCAGAAATAGGAGACTTCAACTAAATTTTAGGGGGATATACAAACCGTTTCATTCAAATGTCAAGAATACTAGTTGACTTCTATCAGTACGTACAGTGTCAAGAGATGTTGGAAATTATAATTCGCATTAGGATTGAATAATATTTCTAGTTATGGTTAAACATATAAAATATAATGTATATCCAGCTAGCGGGAGGGTAAGGCCTCACCTTACCCACCTTTAATCGATCGGGGTTTAATTTGGTAACATATTTCAGAAATATGAAGGAAACAGATCAAACTGGAGACCCACAGGGTTAGGGTCTTTCTTGAGTGTGAAACATATCAGGAAAGACAGATTGTAATAGACTCTCAATCTCAATGCTTAAGTTTAAATCAACCTGGTTAAATAAAGTTGTATTAGAGTTGTGATGTTTCTACCGAACTTCTATGCATTTGCCGCACTGTAACCGGGTCGTTTGACAATCTGTTGCCCAGACAACTGCCTAAAATTTAGCTGGCTCTGCCTCTGGTTTTTGGGCTATCCGGCTCTGGGTGCTGTTTCGAACAATTGAAATGCATTTTTAACGCAATTTTCCTCGTGTGTGTGTGTGTGTGTGTGAGTGTGTGTGTGTGTGTGTGCGTGTGTGTGTGTGTGTGTGCGTGTGTGTGTGTGTGTGTGTGTGTGAAAATCATTGGCACAAAATTATTGAACAATTTGAATAGTATGCAGCTTGACAGCGTTTGTTTTCTGGGGCCCACATTTTCAAATTGAGAGTGCTACCAAAATGGCCCACATCCAAAGCCCTACAGCTTAACGGCCCACGAATGAAATGATGTAGTTTTTACTTTTTATCGAGTGGATCTAGTTGTGTGCGCATGTGTGTAGGTGTCAACAGCAAAATAGGCTTTGCTGGCTGTAAATCGAAAGCCTATAATAATACAATGTCTAAATCTGACACAGATATTCACAGTGGCAATAAAATGTATAATGTGACTATATAATGCTCGGCACCGGCCCACACACACGCACACACACACACACACACGCACACACGCACACACTCACACACTGCTGACCATGCCAAGGTGCAGACGATGTTGTTGGTCAGGTCGTCGGTGGTGGTGGGCGCCTGCTTTCCACTTCCACTGATTGAAAACTTTCACGTTTCTTTTAAGTGCATGCGGGTGCTGTATGTGTAAAGCGGTTGCTGGTGATGGCTTTTTGCGGAATACACGGAAGCCTGGCGCAAAACATACACAAAATGCCGCAACTGAAACGCATTTGCAATGGAAAGTAAAAGTTGTTGCCGTCCAGGGACGCTTATATGGTGCGTTGCTGCCATCGCATGCGAATTCCAATTTTTTCCCACATACATTTAACTATTTGAGCATTCTGGCTCATAGGCAAGTTTTACACCAACATTTGGCTTTTTGGCTGCACAATTTCTATCTAGTACGGATACGGGAGTAATTTGCATAGACTTTTGGCCAAATGCCCACATATCTGACAATGCGTTGTATTCTTTTCTAATCGCATTCGTCGTTGCCTTCTAACAATTTCCGTACGTAATTAATGCCTCCACTCGCATTGTTTTTTCCATAATTCAAATTGACGCCAACGCGCCAAATATGCCTTAACAAGCGAGTGCAAGCGAGATGGCTGATGTTAACAGCGCATGATTGACAGGCTTAGAGCTGCCACCTAACAGAAACTGTTTGGTTAAAGAACCAATGCCCCATTTTTGGCCCATTAAAAGGGCTAAAACAGAAAAGTATATATTTATTCAATCAATTTCTTTATGTTTGATTTCATATTTATATAAATAGGTCGATTTTAAGCTAACATTCTTAATTAAACCAAACAGCTGCGCATTAGGTTTTCTGTGGCAACGCTGGTAAATGATCTTCAATGCTGTTAAGCCGCTGTTATACTCAAAATGGCATGCTGGCTCTCTTCTTTTCGTTTTCTTTCGTTAATGCGCTTTGCGTTCAGTTTCTTTTTCTCTGTCTTTGCGTGCGGTTCAGTTGTAGAAGTAGGAAGAATCGTTCAAGTAGAGGCGAGATCCGTGCGTTTTCCTTTTACCCGACTCGAATACATTTTATATAAACAAAAAAAGGAATTCTTAAATATTAAATATATGAACTGTGCAACAAATGCAAATGTATGCAACTTTTAAAACAATATTATTGTGAAACATGCTGAAAGCAACCACCACACAAAATGGACAACAACAACAAATAAATCATAATCAGCAGCAACAGTAAATTGTGCATATTTCATGCGAAATTTTCAACCTTTTCATTTAAAATCATAATAATTGGTTGCTGTTCTTTCTGCCAATAAGCAAGTAGAGCAAATCGAGCATTCAAAATCTATGAAGTTTTGCTTACGAATTTCTCATCAATGCTGCTGCAAATAAGAAATATGTTAATTTGCATATAAAAATTAATTTCTTTTCTGTTGTACTTGGGGCTGCTGCAGCCACAGAATGAGAATGACAGAGAGAGAGAGAGAGAAAGAGAGCGAACGAATAGCAGCTATTTTGACATTCTGCTTTCATTCATCTCCGTTGCTCACGATTACGCTCACAAACACATGCACAGTCTTATACAAATTAACTGTCGCTGTGTGTTCGTGTGTGTGTATATGAGTGCTGGCAAAACGGAGACGGCGACTGCGCCGTCTGTCTGCTCTTCCTCTTACCGATCAGAGGCAGCCGCACTGCTGCGTTGAGGAATTTTTCTGTCTTCATTTTCGAGTTGCTCTCCCGCTGCTGCTGCGCTGCCACCGTCGTTGTGGTTGTTTTCGTTTGTTTCTTCAAAGAATTTTTGGGTGGAGTTGTTTTCAATCTGTTTCTATTATTAATGAAAATTCAGCTCGTAACAAAAACCATTTTGTGTATTTTATTTAGAAGTAACTTTTAAACTCGAAACACCAACAAGAAATCAAAGCGAGTTACGGGAACAGAAAAAAAAAATAAAATAAAAGAAAATAGCCTTTTGTTTAGCAATTGTGCAATACGTTAAAAAAGCCAAGCGAAAGCAGAACATAGAGAAACTGTCGAAAAAATTTAATACGCATCATAAAAGAATCTCGGCAACAGCAACAATCTCGGCAACAATATTGTGCAACACAAAGTAAACAATTGTAAAAGCTTTAACAAAAACACACTCGCCCACACACACACATATATACACACTCGCACACAACAACAAAATGAGTGTATGCGAGAACAAGACCGTTGTGCAACAGCAGTTGCAACAACAGGCCGCCGCTGCTGTTGCGGCTGCCGCAGCCGCCGCAGTTGCTCAGCAGCAACAACAACAGCCCACGCAAGTGGTGCCACAGCCGCAGCACATGACGCCCCAACAACAACAACAGAGCACACAAAGCATTGCCGACTATTTGGCCCAATTGCTAAAGGATCGCAAACAGTTGGCCGCATTTCCAAATGTCTTTACGCATGTGGAACGCCTGCTGGATGAAGGTAAGTGATAAGTGAAACAGAAATTTAAACTAAAATCGATACACGCATTCAAATACATATACATATATATTTACTAAATCCCCTTGGTGAGCTGAGTACGCAAACTTTAAGGTTTGGTAATCGACAATTAAAGCGTTCAGAAATTAAATGAATCATTAATTAATACAATTGATCAGTAATTGGACCTTATTACTATGTTTTTCCTTTAAGGGAACAGCTTTCATTATAACATCCGATACATTTTAAAGATCTATGTGAAAATCTATAAAAGTCGTATTTCGCCACTTATCCAAAACATTCACTTTCTGTAGCCCATTTTCCGAAATTTACTGATTTTAGGCAGTATTTTGAGCTTATCAAATAGATATATATATATGTTAAATGTATATACATGTGTTTGTATGTATATAATATGCTCGCATCTCTTTTAATTGGGCGCCACCTTCAACTAAGCAACGCGCAACGCTCCCCCAATAAGCGCAACTTTGTTGTTCTCTTTGTTGCCTTCTATATTTAAAGTCTCTTCTGTGCCCTGATCTTGAGTTCATTCCACCTTGCGGAGAGCCCAACGTCAACGCTGCCAACGCTGTCATTTGTTTGTTATTTTTAGTTACTTCCCTTTTGTGTGCCACTTCGTTGTTGTCTCCGTTCTTTCATTCTCCGTCTCTTCCTTTCTCTCTTCAAAGAGCCAGCGCTGTTTGTTGTGTTTCTCTCCTCTTCGTCTGCTTTGCCTGCTGCTTCTCATCATCAACGGGACCCCCACTCATGTTTATGGATGCAGCCGTGCTAGGAGCCTTGATCACTTCCGAATCTCAAAAACTGTTGCATTTGCGCAAAATGTATCTAAATATGCGTGAAACTGTTTATTTATCTGGGTTTGAACGAGGCGCGCCCGTTTGGGCGTACTGGCTGACCGCATGCCTCTGCCTGCCGTTACCCACGCGTTTGCCTCCGAAGGGCAAATACTCTCCGGAGAATCAACAAAAAAGAGCCGAAAATCAACACAACGGCAGTCAACAAGGCGCTGCCAGGGGGCGTGGCACACAGGACCACAAAAATACAACTGTGCGGCGACTACCTGGATGCTCGCAGCTCGCCAGTGTTGCCAGTTTCGCTTTTTTTTCAGTCAAATCTGGCCGTTTTTGAGAGTGAGATTGCGGGAATCATTTCAAACGTGTTTTTTTCCACTTTTATACCATATACGAAAGACTACAAAATAATGAAAGTCAAAACATGCCTAAATATCATAAATATCAGTTCCTAGTATGTTATGTTACTAAAGGATTTATAGTCGCTGCACTCTTTTCAAGGATTCTGCAACATTGGATACAGATTTATTTTATATTTCTTTAGTCATATATTGTCAATAAAAGATATTTCAAATTAATTAACAAGTTAAGGAACGCATTGTAGGAGTATAATTTAATTTCTTGGTTTTATCTTCCGCCGGAACCTCTGCGTTAGGAGAGTATCTTTGATTAGATAATGACAGCGCCCATATTTTGATTATGGTTTTGCAAAATTAAATGTTGCTCCTTTAATCCTTCTTTATCCGTAAACCTAGCTTTATTTCAGCTTCTCAAAAGTTGGCAACACTGCAGCCCGCAGCACGTTTGCTTCGGTCAGAAACGCTTGATTTGGTTCAAGTTGTTGTTGTTTTTGTTTGCTCAACATCTGTTGGCCATATGCATATACATATATGTATGTGCATGTATATGTGTGCCGTATGAGTCGCCGCTTGGTAATGACAAAATTATGTTGCACAGATACAGATACACATACATGGATACACAGAGCTAATGTACGTGCGTTGCAAACTAGTTTTTTGTCTACAAATTGTATTTGCCAAAAGCAAAGCGTTGACAATTTGTAAAACTCGTTCGACCAGCTACAAGAAAATGTGTATGAATTTGATTTGTTTTTGGTTTTGTTTTCGTTTTTACCTGCTTGCCGCCACCCACCCGCTTCTGGCACGCTCATCAGCAGCAGCTGTGGGAGTTGGGCGTGAAGTAGAACTGCATGCCCGACTTATGCGATTACAACCGGACTCGGAGTAGGCTTGCGGTTTGCTCCGTTAACAGCTTGAGACTTCTTAACTTTCTGCTAGAAGTTGGCCTTTCTGTTATTCTTGCAACTTTCTCTATTTTCAATTCCTCTTGTCGCATCGTTGGGTTTTTATGTGCTTGCGGCAAAGTGTCTGCTGCCAACATGCGGGCTGCCCAACTTCCCTATCGAATAAAAAACCCCATATAACTATTAGTCATAAATGTTTTTGTTTTATTGTTAACAATTTTATGTGCACTTCATATTGAAATTGTTACTCATTAACAGATTCTGGTTTTCTGTACATGACCATAGTACAAAGTAGAGTATCCAAAATTGACAAAATTCTCTTCGGAACTGCGAATAACTGTTCATTCTTGTTTTTATTGGTTACAAAAAGTTTGCCTGTGCTGAAAACGAAATTTCAATTGCCATATGGGGATATTTTTGAATCATTTCTGTAGCAACCTGTTGGGCTCCCATTTGAATTGCATAAATATGTATAATGTGCTTGTGCCCCCACGGACATGCCCCCACACTTACACAATCGCACACACAGTCAGACACACTCGCACATATTGCATGAATATCTGAGTACTTTGTTCGGTTTTTTGTTATTTTTCATGTTTTCCTCTTTCTTATTTAGAATTTCTTATTTATTTATTTGCCGCTTGTTTTTATTGCCTTTATTCGCTCGTCGCTTTTGGCACTGCTGACATAAATTTCGTTGTTCACTTCGTTCTTTTTCTTTTTGTTGGGGGTAGTGACTCATGTCTAAAAAAAAAAAAAAATTTAACAAAATTAAGAAGCGCACAAAAGCTGAAGAAGATATTGTTCGGCGTTTATTGTATCTGTATCTGTTAGATACACATGACACATGCCGTCCAAGCACGTTTCTAGCGTATTTGTATCTTGATGCATGCCGAGCAATTCGCACAGTTGAAGTGTGCCTAGACTGTGGAAAGACGACGTCAACGACGGTGTGCACAGTGTGCACGGTGTGCTCGGATTACGGCGACGCAGTCCAAGCATAACTGCACGTACTATCTGCGAAATATGTATAAAGTATATATAGTTAATATATACACGAGAGTATCTTCCGCATGACGTCTGATGTTAACATTATGAAAATGCTGCAACGGCTGTATCTGTATCTGTTGCTAAAGCCGTAGCTGTGTATGTAGTTGAATGTGTATCCCATTGCTGTCTACATCAAAGCAGAACACAGCTGTAATCAAATTATTATTAAAAGGTGTTTTTTGGCCCACGCATTGGCCGAAATAAGCCCAACAACAACAACAACGATCAACTTAACATATCAAAAATGCTGTTGTTGCTCTTTCTTTGTATCTCTGGCACGCAACGCAGCGGCCGCGATCTTATAGATACACACACTATGTGTGTATCTTGCGTTGTGCATTTAAAAAATCAAATTACGTACGGACTACACCCGCTATACGGACTATAGCGCGCAAATGTTTATATAGTCACAGCTATATATATTTATATATATAACCTATATGCATGTATGCTTCAGCGTCTTGTGTATATATATATATATATGTATACCTACTTGGCATTTCTCTTTCAGATACATATACGCAGCAACATTTTCAGCGCTCGGCATTTTTTTTGTTTTTCATGAAAATTTGAAATGTGTTTCATTTCGTCTAATTTTAGATGATTGGAAATGGTTTCTAGCCTGTTGAGAAGTCGCCTTGGAATGCTCTGCTCTCTATTTGAGTGTTTTAGGGCGTTCTTTGCGTTTTAGATGGACGAGCATCCATATTAACTTGGCTTGGAATGCAAACAAAGCAATGCTAAAATGCATTATCAATCGAACGCTTCATCGAACGCTTCGCAAACAAATTAAATTTTAAATTAAAAACACAAAAAACAAAAAAAAAAAAAAACAAAATGCGCAATGAGCGCTTTTGAATTTCAATTTCAATCCCATATCACTCCGGTCTCAGGTCCGGGGCCCAGAGACAATGTTTATACGAGTAGTTGGGTTGACGTCGTGCTCATAAATTTGTTGACAATTGTTATGCGAAACGCGTGGGCACAGCTGGCAAACCCTCTAATAACCCCTCGCACTCTGCACCCAGCACCCAGCACCCGCAGCACATTGTTTGGTAGGTGAGGGGAGCTGTGAGGGGGTAACTCTCTCTACACGTCCCATTGCGTTTTTCAAATTCAATTAAAATCTCTTGTCATGGCGACCGTTGGCTGTTTTGATTTGTTGTTGTTTACGTTTATGCGTTTTATGTTGGCTAACTCGGCATTATGGGCGCTACCAAAAAAAGAATCAGCCAAGCGTTCGCCCATTGCAGTCGGAAGTTGACCATGGCCAGGAGCTGGCTGCATTTCATTATTGACCATTGAATAACTGTACCGCAAATGAAGCAATTGACCAGGTTTATAAACAATTGCATTCGCTAAATTTATTATATGATGAAAGGGCATTGCTCTATGCCGATCATTGATCACTGATCACCGATCACCGATCACTGAGCACTAAATGTTGACTGGCGAAAGTTGTAAGTTAAACTTTGATTGGTTTTGGCTCAACGGTTGGCTGGGCCTGATATGGAAAGTGGGTGTGAAAACGCAGACTGGCGATTTCCATTCCATGTTATCTTTAAGCGCAGTACATCCTTGTCTTTATCTGTATTTTCTGATATCTTTATCTTATGATAAAATCATCAAATGAGTTAAGTACTATTAAGTATTTGCAAAAATATTTTATACGAAATCAGATAACGAAGCATAAAGCATAAATCGTTATTCGAAAAGTTGTATTTAGCTCGGATTAGAATAATATTTTATTTGCAAATGATTCAATCGTTACAAAAATTAATCCTATTTGTTTTCAGTACGAGCCCAATATAAACAAAATAAATCAGTTAAGAGCTCGTCCGTCGCAGATATTTTAAACAGTCGCATTTCTTGTGTGCAAACATTTGCGAACCTTTTTTGAACAGTTTTAAAAGTCAATTAGCAAGTTTCAATTTTGTTTTGGTTTCATTTTGCTTTTAACTAACCGATGGAAGAATTCATAGAAATGCGCTCATCTAGGCAGCAGCTAAATATGATATCTCCAGCCAAGCACAAATGACTCAGCACATGGCACATGGCAATCCCGTAGATACAAATGTGAGTATCTGCAGCCTTCAATTAGCATTTTCAAGTGCCTGCCAGTTGGGTTAGCTGCCGCCTCCCTCGCGCCCCTAGATTGCGTCATTTTCATCTTGCATGACATTTGATACACACAACGTGCAACAAATTCAGAAAAGCGCAAAATAAAAGAATACGAAACACAAATTTTTGACAAAAATAGCTAAAAATGCTGAAAAGCTCGTAATTAAAATGTGTTTTGCATGCTCATGTTTCACACACGCACGCTTCACACACACACACACACACACACACGCACACACACTCAAACATTTGTTGACTCCATGCATGGCACGCGACTACCAGCAGCAGACTCCGCAGCAGGGGCAACATTGGCAGCCATGTGGCATTAGACAATTGCTTTAATATGCCGGCAGACAGTTGCCGCCGACGCCGCCAAGCCGCACAAATTGAACAATTTGATAACAAAGCGCAATACTTGAGAGCGCGAGATGCAAAAGGCAATAAATTTCGCTTTGAAGTTGTGCCATATGGTCGCATGGCCGCATGGCCGCAACTTCAACTTTAACTCGAACTCGCCTGCGTGTGCTCTCTGCCATAAATGGGAAGACGCTGCCACTTGAGCTGTGGCAAGTGAATCACTTTTATTGTGCAATGCCTATCGATTTTTATGGCCGATCAATTGGATTTTTCAATTGCCCCAAAAACGGGCAACTGTGTGTGTGGAGAATGAAAAATGCAAAGCCGAGCGGCTGACTATCATTCGAAATGCGGGCACAACCTCACACACACGCACACGCACACGCACACGCACACTCACACTCACCCCTGTTCGCAATATATTTACACTTATAGATCATTATATTGTTTGTGGCAAGGCGCAACAATAGAGTGACGTTCACTTGCCACGGCTGACAAAAACATGCTAAAGAATCTTAAGCGAATATGTCATAAGTTTGAATTAAACATGAATAGCGCTATATACATACATTTATTTATAGGAATTAAATGCGTCATGTACAAAACAAGAAATAGCGCCAGATTTAAGTTAATTGTTGGCTTTGTTGTTGCTGTCATTGGAAATGTTTAACAGCTATGTTAGCAGCGATATGTGTCTTGCAATATATATACGACGACAGCATGCAAATGTTTGTGGCAGATAATTAAAACGTGGCATAAACACAAATACTCTCACACACACGCACACACACGCAAGCTCTTGCTACAGCTACTTTTGTATCTTTGTATCTTTTGGCTGTCTGCAATTGAGAAATTTAGCAAAACAACGCGTATTTACTTGTGCAGCATGAATGAACGTTGTCACGTTGTTCTTCATGTATGTGTGTGCATGTAGTGTTGTGTGTTTGTGTGTGTGTGTGTTGACATTTTGGTGTATCTTTTGGGGCTGCCAGCCGTTTTAGTTTTGCGCTATTTTCGCATTAATGCGTCAACTAATTTCACGCACTTTTGTGCCGTTCAACTGTTTCGATTGAAAGTCTTCGGTAATTCCCAAAATTTCGCAACTGTCACGCCCACATGACGCCCTAATTGTTGCATTTGCCATCAGCTGTTTTATTTTGTTCGCCTGTGCGTGTGACTGTTTGCCGCGTTGCATGTTGTTGCTGCTGGCAATGCCTTTTGCCGTTTTGGTTGTTGTTTTTGAAATGGCATAAAAATTGAATGTCGTGCTGCCACGTTTTATTATTTTGTTCCTCTCTGCGTATGTGGGTTAAATGTCATTTCTTATGTGCAAACGTTATGTGCGTGGGCGCCACAATGCCATATGCGGCCACAAACGATCGGCAGGCCAAATACAATATTCAATATTTGATCAGTCTTTGAAAACTGTTATAATATAGACATTTAACAGCTATGGCGCGCTGTTGACATCATGGCTTTGTAATGTTACAAATTTAAAGAAAATAGTTTGCAGCTTTCATATTTGGTCAAGACTCTAGACTATTTCAATTAGTTTTTTTTCGCTTCTGTAAAAAGGCTGTTATTAACATTGCATTATGTTAACTTACAGATGTTAACAGTAATATTTACAGCTTATCCAACAGCAGTGCCAAAGTAAACCAGAACCAGAATCAGCATCAACTGCTGTTTCTATTTTTAAGTCAATTGCACAGGTTATACGAGATGCATCATCGTTAGCAGCAACAGCCGTGGCAGCCGCAGCTACATTGAGCAATGGCATTCAATTTCCGCTTCACTTTCAAATGCACAACTGCCCACTCTTGCGGGCCAGACTGCTGCCAACCCAAGGACATCTTGTGTCTTATCAGCGTAACTGACAGTTGGATGAATGTCATTGGCATATGCTGCGATGGCCATATAAACGAGTGCACTTGCATTTTCTAAAATGACAGTCAGGCCAAACGGGCTTTCGGCCAGCTCATGATGGGGACGTAGGCTTTTCCGGTTTTCCACGCACAAGCCCACACCAAAAATATTTCTTGTATTTTGTCAGACAAAGCGACAGCATAAATACAAATAATAAAAGACAGGTAAATAGTATACAAAGAAATAGGGAGACATCGTTGCCAGTTGTCGCAGCCGCCTTTTGACTAAAAATAAACTAAATACGTGGGCGCACAAAGGTGTTAAGAACAAGTTGCACAACGCTGAAAAGGAAACCTGCAATACTGAAATACATATAATAAATGCTAATAAATAGCTATATATACTATTGTTGCACAGGGTCGACTATGAGATACCCCGTGGCAGTTGATGAAATGTTAACAGGCTTGTGATGGCAATTAATTACATATAAATCAATTGAGCTATTTATTTCATTATGCTATTTGCATAGCCCAAACATTAGTTCTTAATCGTAAATTAATGTGTTAATTCCAGTTAAAATAGTTAACAGCGTGTAAAAAACACCCTATAGCTTAATTATACGCAGTACAACTAGATATATAAATAATAAAAAAAAGGCGGCAACTCTTTGACTTTTGTCTTGAAAACGAGTTGCTGTACACTTCAATTTTGGTCAAGCATATTATAATTATGCATATACATACAACTTTCAACGCTCAAGTACATACTTACCTACATACATGTGTTCATAAATAAATAAATAAATATGTATTTGGTTTTTGTACTTTCAGTAACAAAACAGATAGCTGTGACAGTGGGTAGGAGGACAAGTGGTAGGCAGTTAAGACTGGGCTCTCTGTAATAATTTATAGCAATAGCGAGAGCTCTTCATGTATTGTCTTTGGCTTTGGTTTGGGCCCTGTTGTTGCCACAATCGTATAACTGAGTGTATGTGTGTGGGGGGGCTCTGTGCGACGTGCGTCACGTTGCGTATGCGCGATAAACAACATTAATTATACGCCAAGTAAAAGGCAGCACGATCAAGTGACATGCTGCGTAGTCACAAGTAATGCATGGCCCATTTCAAGCGCTTAAGAGACGCCCACAGCTCATACATACTTATACATATACATATATAAATGTATTTATGTTATTTCGAAATAGGTTGGTCATGAATTTCGCTAGCCGTGTTTGTCTCGCTGCGATTTGTAAATAATTAAAT